AAAGAAAGAAAGAAAGAAAAGATTCTCGCCCACAGTTCAGGCTGAGCCCATGGCTTGGTACATGAAGGTGTTCAGTGTCCACTGAGCTACAAGGTCAGTGTGGACGTGGCCACAGCATGGGCTGGATTGCAGGTGCACGGAGCAGAGCAAGGGAGAGTCACATCTCTAGGGGATGGCTGGGCCACTTTGGAATGGCCATGAAAGGCATGATTTTCCCCAACCTGTCCTGTCTTCCCACTAAATAGAGTTCTATCTGGACTTCTCTCTCCCTAGCTCTCCAACACACTCCTGTCTCCACAGGACACAAAGGGAACAATTCAGCAAGCATTATCTGGTCCTGGAAAGAGGGCTTAGGGAACTCTTGCAATCCTCCCAGATCCCCCAATGTGAGGGTGTGGTAATTGGGTCTTGTAGCCCAACAGGTTTGCATTAGGATGGTGTTTCTCCTGCTGAGACCCAGCAGTCGAGGTTGGTGAGTACAATGAGGGATCTTATTGTCACATTCCCAGTTTGCTATATTGCTATTGGGAATCTTTGTCTCCTCCCCTGCCTAGGCAATAGAATTTTGAAATCCACGTGGAGGACCTTCCAGCTAGTTCCTCATATTTCCTCCTCCAGCAGGAGATACGGGGAGAATTAAAGAGTCAGGCTTAAATGGGCAGAGAGGAGGCCATCAGCTCACAGCTCTTGCCTAGTCAGTCTTGTAAGGGGGTCAGTGCAGGGAGCAGCTAAGCAGCTGAGCTGGAAAGCTGGCAGTAATGAGCTATTATTATACAGGGTCATTTTGTATTTCTGCTCCAGGAGCCAAGAGTCACTGTAACAAAAGACACTGGACGGGGTGCAGGAGCTCTGGGGTCGAGCATAAGTCACATCTCTCTCATATCAGTTGCGTGACCCTGGACAAGATATTTCATCTCTGCATTTTTGAGATTTCAAAAATCCCACTCATCTTTTCCCACTCATAAATGAGAAATGGATCTATGTGAACCCTGCTACCTATTTGAGTCAACCAGAATGAGTTTTTTAAATACCAGTGTCTAGGCATCAGCTCCAGACATGCTGACTGATGTGGTTCCTAGCCAAGCTCAGCCCCAGATTTGTTTTTTGTTTTTTTTTTTTAAGTTTTATTTATTCATTCATTCATACAGAACTGGGGTACATGCCAGAGGTGCAGGGGTGATGAGAGGATTCACCAGAGACAGAGTGGGGAGCAGAACAGGC